TCCCCTGTGCATTCTCCACGGAGGAGAGCTTTAACCCAGAGGCCACGCTCCAGGAAGGAGGCAATGGGCCGATAACCCCAGAAGAATGGACAGACCCTTTGGGGTTCCTCCATGACACCAGGAAAATTCGTTGGAGTTAAGAGGAAAGTAGCACCCTGTAAAACGTCCTGATCATCACCTTTTCTGTTCATCCAGTTTTTCTATAAAACCTCAACACCCCAACCCCAAAATCGATTCGCAGTCTCCAAGGCATGAGCCTACTGGGCCTCCCCTTTGCCTGGCAAAGCAGTAAAGCTGTTCTTTTCTGATTTTCCCAAAACTCTGCCTCCGAGCCTCAATCTCGTTTTCGGGGTACAGGGGCCTGCTTTTCGGCAAGTCTCGGGTCTCCCGTTATTGGGTGGTGATGCTAGGTTTTATTTGGTGCTACTAAACTCTTCCCTGAAGGAGGAGGCTTCCCTTCAAACTTGGTTTCAAGAAGCCGTCCCTGGGTTATCCTCAGTTGAAAGACACTAGGAAGATTTTTACTCAGTTGAAACACACTGACTGATATGAACTAAAATTCACATTTTAATGGCAAGAGGAGAAAAGTTTAAACATAAAATTTTTCTTTACCTGGTTGTGCCTCCTCCTTCCTCAGCAGGGGCCAATCTCTTTCAGTTCCTGCTCTCAACAGGGGGCCTATCACCGTCCATGCTCCACCCTCACCCCGGGACACCCTGAAGGCTCCACTTCAGCACCCAGACACAACATCCCTGTTCATTTCCAATCCTTTTTTTCCCAGTTTGGAAGCTGTTAACCAGTCTCTGAGGCCAGAAAATCCTCACTTAGGTAGTACTCCTAGGTCTGGAAAGACTGGATGCCAGCTCCGGAGCTTAAAAGCCAAACACTGTACTATTTTATTCTGTGTCCTCCATGACGCTCCACCTTGGAGTAATGCTGGATGGGTGTCTCTCTTCTCAAACAGGGAAGGATCGCATGTTAAGGCAAAATAGTGGAGGGGAGGGACTCAGAAGAGTTCCCACTTCACGTATCATCTTGTCATCACTGCCTTGCTCTCACCCCATGGCTTGTCTCTGTTCACGTCTGAAGCTGCCCTCCTCCAGGTGGGGCTGCGTCACCTCAGATGGCAGTTTCTCCTAGTGATGGCTGCAGGGAGAACAAGACAGACACCTGTCCCTTCAGGTGGCTGTGGAAGGAGGCCATGGCCTTGATGGCCTGTCCTGGGTTCCCAGAGCCCTGAGCTTTGGTCCTGGGCTCCTACCCAGGACCCCTGCTGCAATGCTGGGCTGTAGAGCAAAGGGTTCACACCCACAGCTTTGGGATTTTTATCTGGGGTTTCCAATCTTATCCATGGGAACTTAGGGAAGATACTTGAATTTCTAAGCCTTAGTTTTGTCATCTGTGAAATGGA